ACAGTCCCTGACTATAACAGAGGTGCAGAATTAGGGGCGGGGGCTCGATCGGACCCCTTTCAACCGTTCGGTCCCTGATCAGGATAGAGTTTCGCAGGAAAACGGGCGTATGGCTCAGTAGCGAGAGGGATCCGATGGTATGCACCAAATTGTGAGTCCCAGATTATTGGTCGACCTGCCAGGGTCAGGCCAATGACCGAAATGTCGGGAAATCGGGACCTGCAAAAACTGCATGGGGTAATTTCCTTTTTGGGGAGAAAGGTGTGTGGGGGGGGGATACTTTGGGGACCTGAATCTGATTTTAGCTCTCATTTTGTTCAATGATACTGGATTGGAGGTAGGTCAGGATAGGTCAGGTCCGGTCACTGTCAGGTGTCTCACCGGTTATTCTTTCGGTCAGGTCACAAGTGTTTATAACCACCACTGACAGCTTAGCCATTTGTGAAAGTCAACTAAACAGTTTTTTTTTCAAATTATTTTGATAGACACAGATAGCGAGAGCGACAGACCTGCTGCCATCCTAAAACATCTAAGTACACTTTCAACTAGTCCCTAACCAATAATCGGTTTTTAATATTCGGTCTCATATATCGGATATATCGTAAGGAAACTGAGAGTAGCAAATCTATAATTTGACTTCTGACCAGGGGCGGATCCAGGAATTTTCGGGAGGGGGGGGGGCGGCAAGTTGAAATAGGGGCGACCTGGCAATCCGGGGGCGCCAAACCGTCGTCAAAATCGAGAGTTTAAAACCCACGCCGTGCGTTGTCACGTCCCCCTAGGTTTTTCGCAAATATCTTTAAGACGGCTGCGCGCAGCGCCGCCGTTTTAAAGATATTTGCGCCCAACCTCTGCTTGGATCGCCCATCCGTCATGGGGAGGCTCACTTTGCTGAAGTCGCCTCATTTCTTCTAAGAACGACCAATTTGCTGTAGGCGGCCCACTTATCTGGGACGCCCATTTTTTTGCTAGAAGTGCCCCTCTTCTTCTTGATGCGTCCCGCTTCTACTGGGAGTGCACCTTTTCTGTTAGGGCACGCCTTTGCTGCTGGGGAGTCCCCTTTTCTACTGTGAATGGGGCGGCCCTTTCCTGTTCGGCGACCCCAAATTCTGCTGGGGGTGCCCCATTTCTGCCCAACTTTTGCTGGGGTGCCCCTCTCCTGCAGGGGCACTTATCTTTTGCTAGGCCAGAGGCATCCCTTTTCTTCTTATGGGGCTCCTCTTTTTGCTTGGGCGCCCCTCTTCTGCTCGGAGCGGGGCACCACTCTCCTTTTACTGGGGCACAGCCCCTCTGCTGGGGTTGCCCTTCCGCTGCCTCAGGGGCGCCCCTCTTGTGCAGAATATACTCCTTTTCTTCTTGTAATGAGGCGCCCCTCTTCTACCGGGGGCGCCCATCTGCTGCTGGGGCGTCTGTCTTCTGACGGATATTGTCAATGGGGCGCCCCTATCCTGCTTGGCGAGCCCAACCTCTGCTGAAGGCTCCCCATCTCTGATCAACTTTTGCTGTGGCGCCTCTCTTCTGCTGGGGCGCTCCTCTTCTGCTGAGGGTGCCCCTCTCCTGCAGGGGGCTCCTCTCTTCTGCTGGGGCGCCCCCTTCGCTGGGGCGCCCGTCTCCTGCTGGAGGCTCCTTTCTCCTGCTGGGCCCCCTCCGCTGCCGGGGGCGCCCCTTTTCTGCCAGTGGCACCCATTTTTTATTATGGGGCTTCTCTTTTTCTTTGTTGGGGCGCCTATCTGCGGTTAGGGCGCCCCTCTTCTTCTTGGAATGGGGGCGCCTCTCTACTTTTGCTGGGGCGTCGCTCCTCTTCAGGGGGACACCTCTCCTGCCAGGAGTGCCCCTCTTGAACAGAAGGTATCTTTTTATTCTTGTAATAAGACGCCCCTCTTCTGCTGGGGGCGCCCATCTGCTTCTGGGGCGACTCTGATCTGCTGGGAATGGGCAATTGGGCGTCGCTCTCCTGCTTGGTGAGCCCAACTTCTGCTGGAGGCGCCCTATTTCTGCTCAACCTTTGCTGTGTCGCCTCTGTTTTGCTCGGGGCGCCCTCTCTGCCGCGGGCTATGGGCGCCTTTTTCGGATGTCGGGGGGGGGGCGGCCGCCCCCGTCGCCCCCCCTGGATCCGCGCCTGCTTCTGACGTCACTGTGACGTCATTTCAAATGGGATTGATTGGGCACACCCTCGGCTAGGTATTCAGGTGTGTAAAGTTTTGCTTCTTCTATCTCTTCGCGTTGCGACGATATCTATATGCCACTCCCCCCCCCCCCCCCCCCCCCAGCGGCCGGTGGGTGGTGCGGTGGCCCAGCGGCCGTCGGATTAAAAGAAATGCTCAGTTCCGTAAAATGCAATCTACCGCCTACAAAAAAATGCATTACCGGTCTCCACCGCCTTCGGCGGCAGCGGGTGATATTTTTTCGATAGGGTAGGCCCGCTTCGGCCCCCCAGAGCCTCCCTCCCCCTTGGATATCTGGTCTGCGCCTGCCTAACCTTATATGCTTCCTCACAACAACCTTTTCAGGGTTACCAACGGGAATTTTTCTAAATCCCAAGATCACCGCGCGAATTTCCCAAAATCGAGCTCCATATCCCAAGGTCGACAGGATCAACGCCCAATGTGCATCCCAAGGTCTATAGAAACCAAATATAGAGCAAATTAAGTGTATTTGCCGTATTTTCAAATCTTTGGTTGACTAAATAAATCAATATCAATATTTTACCCTCGGCGAATGTGTGTTTAATATGTGAAATGAATGGTATTTAAAGTTGATTAGGAAACAAAATCTGGATGGTGTACCGTTCCCTTTAATCAAACACATACATGATACATCTACGGTTTTTGATCGTAAGAAGAATGTAGCTATCACCACGCACTACATTTAAGAAGGTAATATTTGATGAAGAGTTTAGGAGAAGAAAACCGCGATTCACAAGCACTATTGCTGTAAAAGGCACTTACAGAGCTACGAAGGCCGCAGTCGCTCCCTTGCACGTTCCCTCACAGACGACACTGAGTTCTGACTTCTGACCTTCTGAGCCTGCACCCTCCACTCTCCAGAAAGACGAGCCGAACTCGAGACGGGTCGAGGGCGTCGCCGCCGCCCGCCGGCCGCAATACGATACGAGTTGAAGCATGATCCGTCGCAGTGGCGGATCCAGGGGAGGGGGGCAAAATGGGCATTTGCCCCCCCCCCAAACGGCATAATTTTATTCGCGATCGGAAGAACCCCTGAGGCACTTTTGGCGCGCCCCGTCATTTAAGGGACGATTAAGGGATAAGGGATATGAGGCACGTGTGAAGTTAGTGGTGGTGCGGCTAGATATCGACCCGGGGAATCGCCTGGGACCATTATTTTCGCGATCGGAAGAACCCCTGAGGCACTTTTGGCGCGCCCCGTCATTTAAGGGACGATTAAGGGATGAGGGATATGAGGCACGTGTGAAGTTAGTGGTGGTGCGGCTAGATATCGACCCGGGGAATCGCCTGGGACCATTATTTTCGCGATCAGAAGAACCCCTGAGGCACTTTTGACGCGCCCCGTCGTTTAAGGGACGATTAAGGGATGAGGGATGTGAGGCACGTGTGAAGTTAGTGGTGGTGCGGCTAGATATCGACCCGGGGAATTGCCTGGGACCATTCTTTTCGCGATCGGAAGAACCCCTGAGGCACTTTTGGCGCGCCCCGTCATTTAAGGGACGATTAAGGGATAAGGGATATGAGGCACGTGTGAAGTTAGTGGTGGTGCGGCTAGATATCGACCCGGGGAATCGCCTGGGACCATTATTTTCGTGATCGGAAGAGCCCCTGAGGCACTTTTGGCGCGCCCCGTCGTTTAAGGGACGATTAAGGGATAAGGGATATGAGGCACGTGTGAAGTTAGTGGTGGTGCGGCTAGATATCGACCCGGGGAATCGCCTGGGACCATTATTTTCGCGATCAGAAGAACCCCTGAGGCACTTTTTGCGCGCCCCGTCATTTAAGGGACGATTAAGGGATGAGGGATATGAGGCACGTGTGAAGTTAGTGGTGGTGCGGCTAGATATCGACCCGGGGAATCGCCTGGGACCATTATTTTCGCGATCAGAAGAACCCCTGAGGCACTTTTGGCGCGCCCCGTCGTTTAAGGGACGATTAAGGGATGAGGGATGTGAGGCACGTGTGAAGTTAGTGGTGGTGCGGCTAGATATCGACCCGGGGAATTGCCTGGGACCATTATTTTCGCGATCGGAAGAACCCCTGAGGCACTTTTGGCGCGCCCCGTCATTTAAGGGACGATTAAGGGATAAGGGATACCTGCTAGGGCAAAATTAATGTCATATTCGTGCTCCCCGTCCCCGAATTGACCAGATATGACGTTTTCAAGTGATTCGGTACTCGACGCTGAATACGAATCCGAATCCGACGCCAACATCACGCACATCGGCCAGGCCGGGTGTTACGACGCGGAAGCCACTGGGTATTTCGCTAACTGCCTCACTTGAGAGCTGAGACGGGAGAAACAAAGTGAAGACGCGTCAAAGAAGGATAACTTATTCGTGCTTCGTTGGTTGCTTGGTAAGGTACAGTGAAACCAAACGAAAGAACGCTCGGTTGTGTAACTTGTGTTCGTCCAAAAAAGACGGTTTACAAAAAAAAAACATTAAGTTGTGTTAGATGTGTTCCTGATTCCTTTGTTTGGTCTTTATTAATACTTTTCCTTTTTCCAATGATTAAAAAATGTGCTAAAATTAGCGGGAGTCGTAAGCTCGGGACAAATCCCAAGGTTTGCTGTTGAATCCCAAGGTCCCAAGGTCGGGTTCAATATCCCAAGATCTTGGGACAAATCCCAAGCTTTGGTAACCCTGAACCTTTTGTTTGCTTTTGTTTGCGCCAATCAAGGTTTGCATATAGCATAGCCTCCAGGCTCCAACCATGACCCATGGGAAAACATAATTCAATTACTGGCAAGCATAAAGATATTGATGGTTTTATTTCTTTGTCGGAAGTTTCTAATCACGCGAAGTTTAGTAGGCGCTAAGGAAAGATTAGTAGTAAGGAGTGAGTTAAATCCTTGGATAAATCCAAGATAAATCCACAGTGCATATATGAATAGATAAATCTACTATGATCTTGGTCATTGCATAGAGTAAAACTTCATATGGTAGCAAAATAATTTGCTTCTTTGTCACAAACATGGCGCACTTTTTACGAAGAAATAGCCGATTCTGCCCATTGTGCATATATTTAGCGAAAGCATAAAAAGACTTTCAGGTAAGGTGTGGTTCTTTCGATTTCTTACTTGCCGTTTTTACATTTACACATTGTTTAGATTATTATTTTTGCATGGCTTGTACTTAACGCTTTTATTCATTGCCGAGCACTGCTAATTTTGCAGTGCCTTTTGTTGGCCTTTGCCGCGTACTGTGTTGAGTTTGGATAGTCAAGGTCGTCAAGGTCAAAATCATTATTATGTAAATGAGCAGAAATGCTACACTTGCATGTCAATATTTGTATATACAGTGATACATTTTGATTATGTGCATGATATAAACTAGGAAGTTACTGGCTGATTGGTTGCAGGCATGTTTTGCTTTGCTCCTTCTACGTTCTACCATCCTCTGCATTGATTTGCCTGTTTGTGTTCAATGACGGATCAGAGGCCAGTCTTACCAACAGAAAAGTAGCCGCCTGCCAGAATTTTTGCCTTAAGACTGCTTCACAGGTGAACCATAAAGCCCTATCTGCTTGCATGCCCAGCACGTTTACTCTCTGTGACTAAGCAGTCTTTAAGCGAAAAATTGGGGCAGGTGGCTATTTTTCTGTTGGTAAAACTGGCCTCAGGATAGTGTTGTAAGTATTGATACCATAAGTTATGACAATACTAATGTTTGAGTCCATTTATTGTCAGTTTTCCCAGGTGTACCTGAAATGAAAAGTTGATGGAAAGTGAATTAGTGCAAATATACCATTAATATCAATTACAATTGATTTAATGTGTTTATGAATTTTTATGCCTGTCTGTATCACTAACTGATTAGCATGTGATTTGTTAAGACTTATACGTTTATGTACAGTCCACAGCAGAAGTACCGTAAAACGAGGTGTTAAGGGACAGTTTTGAGGTGTTTTGTTATATAACTCAAGAAGGGTTGGGATAGAAGCATCAACTTGTCAGCATTTTATGTGGAATTTGGTGCTTTGCATGCCTGCTACATTAAAGTTTCAAAAATATACACATGCATATTATTTTTTATTATTTTTCATCGCTGTCGCTTAGCACCCCAATGTGGGGTGTTAAGGGACACCTACATTATTCCAAGAAATGGTCATCAAATGCCCACAATTGGGGTGTGAAAGGGCACACAATTTATTTACTGAGATGCTTTGCATATTCTGTCACAAAACAAGTCAGGTTCATTCAACACTAATGGCCTTTTTAGCCAATTGCATATAATGCAGTTTACGCTTCTGGAAAATGTGCTAATTATAAGGTAAACAGAACTAAAAGTACCCTTCTGTCATCAACAAAAACCCATTTTGAAGCTACATACAGAACTACTACAGTAGTGTACTACAGTTGTGTTCTGTAGTAGTTTAGGCTCATGCCAATAGATTTGTTTTATTTCAATTTAGCAAGTATATACACAATATCAAAAATGATATCGGGGCATAGCATGTCATCTTAACCCTCCTGTTAGTGCCTGTTGGCATCAAATGGCTTTGGTGATTCGATACGATATCAACTTAATCGTAATTTAACATGTATTTTAACCTCGCAAGTGATTTCCATGTCAATACACCGTCATGATTTACTAATCACTTTTCATTTCGTTTCGTTATTCTTCTGATTTCTTCGTTTTACTTCGCGGTTCTTAGTGTTTCTTCATTTGTTTCGTTTCCTATATTATATTTATCGTTTCGAGGTTTGCCATTCAAGCCATTTCAAAAATTTTCTTTCTCTTCCTTTTTGTCTCTCGAGTCTACCTAAATTCGTTAAACTTGTCATTTAAATTTTCACGAGCGGTTATCGCTGCAAAGCCGTCGGGTCCTGGATTTTATGCAATTGTGACTCTTGGTTTTGCTGCACCAACACCCTCCCCTTGAAACATCTATGAGGTTTCAACAACTTCTTGTTTGTATCTTCACAAGCTTCGTCACTGGGCGCTCGAAGGTCGTGCCCCTGACCTTCAGCTTGACGGTACGAACCAGCCCATCGGCGCTGTGCTTCACCCCTAACACTCTACCTAGCGGCCACTGGCCTCGAGGTACATCATCATCTACAAGCAGCACCACATCGCCCACTCCAACATTTGGCCTATCTTTAGCTGTCTCACTGGGTCTTTCTTGTAGTAACGGCAAGTACTCTGTTCGCCAGCGTGTCCAAAACATACTAGCGTAATACGCAGCCTGTTTCCACCGTTTACGACTATCGCAGTCAGACCTATCAAATAAGTTGGTGGGGACTAAATCATACCCATTGCCAGCGAGCAGAATGTGGTTAGGGGTAAGTGGTGGAATGTCACATGAGTCGGCTGAAACTGGCGTCAATGGTCTGTTGTTTATGATGGATTCGACCTCGCACATAATCGTCTGCAACGTTTCATCCTTCATCGCTCCATTGATCACGGTCTCGAGAAGTCTCCGGATCGTTCTAATTTGCCTTTCCCACGCACCTCCATGATGGGACGCTCCTCCCACATTGTATATCCAGTCGATTTCCATTGTCAGCGCCTTGTAGTGGATCCAGTCTTCGTTTTGCTCTTGTCTGTGCAGTTCTCGCTGTAACTCATTATTGGCTCCCACAAAGTTTGTGCCCCTATCCGAACGTAAAACCTTGACGTGACCTCTCCTGCAAACAAATCTTTTTAGGGCGCAAATAAAAGAGTCGGCAGACAGATCATCAGCTACTTCAAGGTGCACGGCTCGTATGGATAAACAGGTAAAGAGCACGCCATAACGCTTAATCTGGCCCCGACCATGTCGCACATAAAATGGCCCAAAGTAGTCGACACCCGTTCTTGTGAATGCCTTTTCCAAAGCCATTACCCTGTCTTCTGGCAAGTTTGCGCATTTTTGCACTTCAACTGGATGAAATTTCTTCTGGCAGAATACGCACGATTTCAACATCCTTCTAACCGTGGCATTCGCTTTGAGAATCCAAAAGTTCTTCCGCAAATCAGCAAGAACATGCTGCCTACCAGCGTGCCCAGAAAGTCTATGAGTGTCGTGCACAAGCATCTCAGTGTAACTGCTGCGAGAAGGCAAAATGACCGGGTGTTTAGCGTTGTAGGTCAGGTCAGCGTTCTGCAAACGTCCTCCAACTCGCAACAATCCATTTTTGAGGAATGGATCCAACTTGTGCAGGGTGCTTGATGCACGGACATGATTTCCCGCGCGAAGTTGAGTAAAGTCTTGAACAAATGCGTTAGTCTGAACATATCTGATGATTTCTTCCTCAGCTATCGTAAGATCCGAGTTCGTTAAGCGTGAGGAGGGGCCCTCCCCGTGTACAATGCGCGATTTTAGAAACTTCTTTACCTTGAGGATCCAAGCTACCGCACGAATGAGCCTTCTTCGATCGCTGTAATGCTTGAGAAGCTTTTCAATCGGGTCACTTAATGTATGTTTCACGTTTGTTTCGTCCCTCAGAAGATCATTGCTCACACCAATAGAACTCACTAAAACTTTAAGTTCTGGGTCGTCTTCCTTTAACTCCAGTAGAGCTGAAGGTTTTTTGGGCCAGTCCTTTCTCGACTTCCACAAGAATTCTGGTCCTGTCAACCACCGATCACTTTGTTCACCCCTTGAAACATCATCGGCGGGGTTTAGAGCACTTGGTACGAACATCCACTGCTCTTGAGTAGACCCGTCGTGGATAATAGCTAACCTGTTAGCCACGAAGGTGTGGAATCGCGTTTTCCTGTTCGAGATATAGCGCAAGACTGTCGTGCTATCCGTCCAGAATAGCTCCTGAGTGACCTTACAAGGTGACCCTGCATAAATAATCGCATCAGAGAGTAATGCACTGATTCTTACAGCCGTGACGGCCGCCATCAACTCGAGACGGGGGATGGTCACAGTCTTCAGTGGAGCTAAATGTGCCTTTCCCTTCAGAAATGAGCAATGGATATTCCCCGCTGTATCAACAATACGGACGTAAGAGACAGTGCCATATGCCCACTCGCTGGCATCAGCGAAGTGATGCAGCTCGCACGATACGATGCTTCCAAAAGTTGTTGGCTTAATGCAGCGCGGGATCGATATGAGACTTGTTTTAGAAACATTCATCAGCCATGCTACCCACCTTTTCTGCTCTTCTTCCGGGATTTCCCCATCCCAGTTAACCTGTTTTCTGGCAAGATCTTGGAGGATTCTTTTTCCTTGTAGAATAGTCGGGGCAATCATGCCCAACGGATCATAGAGTGAGCTGACAGCGGACAATAGGCCTCGCCTGGTCTTTGACCTTGAAGTGAGACTCGACATGTCTAAGGAAACAGACAAATCATCTTCCTCAGTTTTCCATATTATACCAAGTGCCAGTTCATCGGGGTGATGCTCATTTTCAATCAAAGCTTTTCTAAGTTTCTTGGACCTGTCATCCGATGCGATAGAATTGACCACCGTCCGGCTGTTGCTCGAGAATTTTGTAAGATTAAAGCCACCCTTGCTACATAACTCCTTGAGCTCATGAGCTAGACCAATAGCTGTCTGCTCGTCGGGAGATGACTTCAGTACATCATCAACATAAAAATTGTGTCGTATTGTGCTTACGACTTCTTCGGAAAAATGAGTTTTGTTATCTTCGGCTGTTCGCCTGAGTGCATAGCAAGCAACGGCAGGAGACGACTTGGCGCCAAAAATATGCACCTTCATTCTGAACTGTTGTAATTCGTTTGACGTGTTTCCATCTCGCCACCAGAGGAACCTGAGTAAATCTCTGTCTGACTCGTGAACATTTACTTGATTAAACATGCCCTCTATGTCAGCTATAAAGGCGATTGGCTCTAATCGGAAACGTAGAAGCACATCTAGAAGTGTGTTGGTTTGGTCTGGGCCCTGAAGCAAGCAATCGTTCAGTGATATGCCCTGAAATTGAGCGGCACAGTCAAAAACCACCCGTATTTTGTCGGGTTTGTGCGAGTGATAAACGGCATGGTGAGGCAGGTACCACACCCTACCATCGTTTCTATTTTCACTTCCTTCTGGAACACGTTCTGCAAATCCTTTCTGTATCATTGTGTCCACATACGACATGTAATCGAAAGCGAACAGTTTGTTTCTTTCCAATCTGAATTTTAACTTGTTTAACCGCGATCTTGCAATTGAGATATTGTTCGGTAAAACCAAACTTTCTTCAGTCAGTGGTAAAGTAATACTGTAGTGATGGCCGTCATGTTCAATCGAAGTATTGACTCTTTGGAGCCACAACCGATCTTCTGCAGACAAACCTCTCCTGGTACAGTGAAGGCTTTCTTCATATTCGTGGTTGTATAGAGATTTTACCATTTCTTCTAGCGTTGTGCTCGCGGTTACGTTTGTCTTGAAGATCGCGGTGTTTGCCGTCTGACCTTCCGTCTGATTTATTCCACATACTATCCATCCAAATCTTGTGAGTATTGCATACGGACTGTTATTTATGCTTGGTATAACCCTCAGTGGTTCCATTGCTAAATATGCATTGGCTCCCAATAACAAACCGACTTCTGATACATTAGAATCTGGGAGATCAATGCCTCGTAAGTGTTCCCACCTTTCAACATCTGCAACCTTAGGGAAATGACCAGAGTCAACGGGAATACTTGGCAGAGTGTAGAGGGGTGGCAGCTGCAAAGTATTGAAGCCCTGGAGGTCAGTAATGGACAACCCCTCTGCTATCTGAGTCGGGATAGAAGCGGCACCATGCACCGTGGTCAGCGACAGCTGCCGACCGGGACGGTGCTCCATACCGAGCAGGCGCAATAATGACGTCGCTATAAACGAATGCGTTGAACCACTGTCTAGGAAGGCGTATGTAGTGTATTGTCCCGAAGAGCTTTTGATCTTCACAGCCACCAACGGCAGCATAGCACCCCTTTTGAGTTCGTCTGCTGCGACACGGCAAGTGGTCGCATTGGCTGTGTTTGTATCCTCTGGCAAAGGCGGCTGTTTAAGCAGCGTTTGCCGATCTTCTAAAGTGCGATCATGCAGCGCCGTCGGATGATTTCGGTTACATAGCTGGCAGCTCACTGGTCTGCGACAAAATGAACGTCTATGGCCTCTACGGAGGCACCCAAAGCATAAAGCATTTTTCATCACAAATTGTTTTCTCTCTTCAAATGGGACGCTGTTCAGCCTGTTACACTCCGTAACATTATGCGTTTTCTCCCCGCAAAACAGACACCCGCTGTCATTCTGAGACTGGGTGCGCGTCGCCGCAACTAAAGGTTTCTGATAACTTTGGGAAAATAATTCCCCTTCGTTCTGCTTTGCACTTGCTCCTTCACGGCTGCTATACATATGTTGTCCAAACGAAGCGTTTGTGGCTATTCTGGCTTCTCGTGCTACAAATTCAACCAGGTCTTCGAAGACTGCTGGCCGCCCCTGATACTCTTCCAAATCGTCTACACGACGTCGCCATCTACTCAGGAGTGGTACCGGTAGCTTCCTTGTAATAGTACGCAGGGTTCGAGGATCATTCATGAAGCTGCACGAGCTTCCTAGTGCATTCTTACAACTGAGGAGCAACAACGAGAACTGGTCCAGCTCTTCTCCATTTTCTGCATTGAGCTGTTCCTGGCTACTTATTCTATCAATAAAGGCAGCTGCGATTGTGCTAGGCTGGCCATACCTCTTGTGCAAAATCTGCATCGCATGTTGATACCCGTCTTCAAGATACATGCAGCTCTCAACAATACTGTGCGGCTTACTTCCCGGAATTATGTTTTGTTCCAGGTAATATAACTTTTCACTGTCATCATCCAATTTAGAAGCGATCTTCATTTCGAAACATCGAATAAACTGAGCGAACTGAGTGGTATCACCCCCAAATTTCTTGATTTCGATCGGAGGCAGACGCATCAACGCTGCCGTCCTTTCTCTTTCGGTTATTAAAGCAGCAGATGTGCCTTCATGAGCGCGGCGACTAAACGCGGGTGGTGCTTGCTGAGATATATCCGGCCGCAAGTTTGGGACGTACTGGAGTGTAGGGTTAGCGTGAGAGTGAGAGATGCGAGGAGTTTCCGTCTCATGTGAGGGTAACGAATGAAAGCTCGCTGGTAATGGGCTTACATCATCATCATTTCTATACGTCTTTAACGCCTGCTCTCTAGCAGTTAATTCATTTAAAGTCGCCTGAATTTCCAGCAGCTCCTGTCCACGTCTAAGTTCAGCGATTTGACTCTCAATGAGCTGTTTTTCTTTTAAGGACTTTAATCTTTCGATGAGAGCGGCTCTATCGGCTGCCTCCTCTGCGCGCCTTAACTCAGACTTAACATTGGAAGGAGACACAGAAGCAGACGGGGACTCAACACGGGACACACTGTCATCGGGATGAACTGCACTATTTTCCAAACATGGCTCGGCATCTAACGTATTCCGCGCTCCTAGCACATTTACCAATCTATTTACAAGCGTGGCCTTGTTTCCTTTACAGCTAAGACCGCGTGCCTTCAGCATCATTTTAAGTTCAGACACTTTCAAATTCTCCATTGTCTCGTAACGGTACGCTAAGAAACTAGGGTGAAGCACAGGCCAACGGGTGTCCAAGTTATGCAGTTGATGCCGTTGATTTAGTTGCCAGGGATTATAATTGCTGTGTAGACCTTACCTCGATAGCAGGTTTGACAACTTTTGTATGAATTCGAATTAGCAATAGCAGCGTGCTATTAATCTTCTTGACAATTCTTCAAACAATTCTTCTTGACGGAACAACACCAGGCTCAAATAATATCGGGAGTAATGATAGCTTCAATGTAGACTCAGCTGAGCCTAAAACTGTGAATATTCGACTTTCAGTTCTTGATAACATTTATTCTTGCATTGCACTATTGTTGATATAGACAGCTCGAAACTGTTAGTGCCTGTTGGCATCAAATGGCTTTGGTGATTCGATACGATATCAACTTAATCGTAATTTAACATGTATTTTAACCTCGCAAGTGATTTCCATGTCAATACACCGTCATGATTTACTAATCACTTTTCATTTCGTTTCGTTATTCTTCTGATTTCTTCGTTTTACTTCGCGGTTCTTAGTGTTTCTTCATTTGTTTCGTTTCCTATATTATATTTATCGTTTCGAGGTTTGCCATTCAAGCCATTTCAAAAATTTTCTTTCTCTTCCTTTTTGTCTCTCGAGTCTACCTAAATTCGTTAAACTTGTCATTTAAATTTTCACGAGCGGTTATCGCTGCAAAGCCGTCGGGTCCTGGATTTTATGCAATTGTGACTCTTGGTTTTGCTGCACCAACACCTCCCTTGGTATGTTAATGATAGCTCCTGCCTTTAAGCTGTGTGTCATTACTTATCAATCATTGTTTTCCATTGTATGTTGTTTATCCATGAGTTGACAGCTTGGATAATGATTTGAATAATAAACCTGTTAAGTATTATTACAAGTCAAATAAAGTTAAATATGATTTTAAGGTTACACAGTGAACACAGAACAAGGTTGTATAAAATGAAAGCTTTGTATCTTTTTGAATATATTTTATTTGTAATAATTGTTTTATGCATTGCATGTTTATCATTTATCATTCATCCCCCTCTAGGGCATAGATCATAGATGCATATTATATTTTGGCCACCTTCATTTGAAATGAAGCTTGTGTGAATCTTATCAAGACAGATTACTGTCTAATTAGCTCTAATTTATATGGTTCTGTAGTTTTTATACCTCCATAGATGCTCATCACTCATAGGGATTTTATATCAAATTTATGGTTTGTTCCATCAACTGTATACTCTGCACAGCATGTCTTTGTGAAACAGTACTTAATGTAAAGTTAGGTAGGTGGCTGATCCATTGTGATATTACTGTTTGCATGTATCCTTTACAAAGACCACCTGCATCATATTGCCTAGCTGAAAACAGCTATGACAATGGCTGGAAAAGTGTGTGATGATAATTTCATAAGCTTTGGTTTAAACTAGAGATCTGAGTCTTGCAAACTAGAGATCTGCTTGCAAATCAGTTAGGTACTCTTGAGTGCTCATAAGATGATGCAATGCTAACCACAAAAATGATGGTTTCAATGCTTCCTTTTCAGTGACATGCAGGCAATAGCATGAGAAAGTTACCATCTAAGACACTGGGAGACACTCTACATCGAGTGGGTGTCTACACTTGCATGGGAGTTACTGGGGTAAGGTCCTATATTGTGTATTGGATAACTGGGTTCATAATAATATGCTGTGTTGTGTCGCCATTTTCTTTGGTGCTGAGCATACGAAATGACCATGTTATATATCTATCATATTCCATCACTCCTGCTCCTGCTAAAAAGCTCATTTGTGATTGATGATTTTATAAACATGTGGTTCCATGATATGTTTATGGTGATTACAAATTCACAGGGCGAATGAGATGACCACACAAAGATACTAACCAAGACGTGTTTGTTTCTGGTAATTTTTTTAGTGATATTCAGTGAATCCTATTGTCTTTAGTTATTGTTTCCCATCTAGTTCTAGTCCACATCTGATTGCACTGAAAGCTCAGATACTTATAACGGTAAGCATGTACCTAAGCGTGCTGTCCTGAACCACAGCCATCCTGCGCTTCTCATCTAACCTGGGTAATTCTAAACGATTCCTCTGCGCTCCTAGGTGTGTCTGGTCTACTGCGGCTGGCACGCCTACACCTTCTTGACCAAGGTGCGACCGCAGCGCGAGCAGCTTCTGCTCGAGAAGAAGCGTCAGCTGCTGGAGGAGGGCGCCGTGCCGGAGCGGGACCTCCAGGAGGGCACGCCGCGGGTCAACTACTGAGCGCCGCCGGTGACCCCGCCGAGGGCAGCAGGGATGGCGCTGCAGCTGGGCACGACCGGCTGGTGGCGGCTGGCGGCGCGCCTGGCCCGGGGACGGGTCGGCGCGGTCACCAGGAGCGCGCACGGAGACGCCGTGAGTGGGGGAGGGGAGAGCTGTCCGGAATAACAGCGGATACTGGGAGCAGCGAAGGTTTGAACGAGGCCGCAAAATAATTTTATATGTCAATTAGTGTGACCTTTTTGACTGCAATCAGTTGGTTAAAAAGCACAACAGTTTACACCACACTTTATCTCTGGCAAGTCTATTTGAATGGCCCAATAATACAGCAAATTTAATGTCGTTTAAGAGCGTCGCTGATTTGTGGTTATAACTAACTTCGATCTACCCACCTTCGTGTTCCCTGCAGGCCGACAACGGCGTGCCGAAGGCGCTGTGGAAGCTGGGCCGGCTTAATCACGTCGCCATCGCCACACCCGACCTGAAAAAGTCCACTGCGCTCTTCAGGTGAGCCTGTATGACAGAAAGGAGGTTGTATCGTAACATGCCAACCTTTATTGTATTGTTTTACTACTTACTAGTTGAACAGTGATTCGTTGCTGAGGCTAAGGGTCAGGGGGAGGGGAGCATATTTCAGCTGTTGCCGCGATTTGAAATAACTATTCTATTAAAAAAGACCTTCCGTGCATGATATGCTAGACAAGACCGACTGTTTGCTCCTGATGTTTTTACCGATGCTTTCTCCAAGAGATGTGCTGGTCGTCATTCAGTTTTGTGTGTAAATGGTGACTTGTTCCGATGCGTCCTTTCAGGGATGTGCTGGGAGCGGACGTCAGCGAACCGGAAGCCCTGCCGGAGCACGGCGTCCGAACGGTGTTCATTAACCTGGGCAACACCAAGCTGGAGCTGCTGCACCCGCTCGGACCCGATAGCCCCATCACGGTACGTAGGGTGGTTACAAATCACTTATCAGCTCGGGACAGCTGCTCGTGTGTTTCATCGGGAAATTACTCATGTTTGCCTGTGCCTCTGTCTCTTAGTCTTTCTACATATCGCAGTGTTTTTCCTAGATTAAGTCGTTTGAATTTGCATAGAGGAATTCTCTATGTATACAATTTAACATGGAAAATATGTCGGCATTGTTATTTGTCCTTGCTTTGCTTTCGCTAGCCTTTCACATCCCCCCGGCCTGTCCACCAACAGAACTTCTTAGACAAGAACCCGTCCGGCGGCATGCACCACATCTGTATCGAGGTGGACAACATCGCCGAGGCGGTGGCCTCGCTGCAGCAGAAGCAGATCCGCTGTCTGAACGAGCCCCGGCCGGGCGCACACGGCAAACCAGTCGTGTTCCTCCACCCCAAGGACTGCGCCGGCGTCCTGGTGGAACTAGAGGAGGCATAGGTGGCGCTCCGGTCGGCGGCGGCAGACGTAGAGGGCGCCCCGGTCGACCGATAGCTGATTTGTCGCCCACGAGCTGTGCACTGTGCATCTGTAGCTGTGTGGATTTAGATGGGATTATATGGACGACATTTCTGGTGTTATTAGAATAAATCGTGTTTGCTCTTACCTCTGCGTTATGCGCCCAATGGCTTCGTTCAACCAGATAGGTTTCCGCCACTCGGGTGTAGCTTCTTGACGGTAAAAGAAAACAATTTTAAATCGTCCAACTCAATTACGAATATTTGTAGTTTTCAGTGCCGCTTATGAATTAATGATGGCCTTTGTAACAGTATTACCTTTTCAAACATGATTCCAAAGAAAATGTGTGTTCTGTTCTTTCAAAACGGAGCTTTGACAGCTTGTGTTATTTTGCGGAAGACAGTAGGGATAATATTGAGTCGTGTGCCGCAAAGGACGACAGGCCGAAGAACTTAGGGAGTGTTCCGGATGCTATCTTGTTATGTTCCTTTTCCCTGGAAGCCCTAAAGTACGCAATCTACCAGGCATGAGCATGGATCCGAGAAAATGGATCTGGGATCTGATCCCACGGATCCTGATCCCGGATCCGGCGGGATCATAGATCCAGCTCTCAAATTTATCGAGAGATCCGTAGGGATCACAGATCCGAGTCTCATGATTTGCTTGAGATCCAGTGAGATCATGGATCCTCACTTATTTTTTGTTAACACAGAAATCCCCCAAAAACACTTGTTGCAACTCATAAACGTTCTGTTTTAGTGATTTTATGTGCTCGCACGTCATAATCCATAATTTAGTGGCACTTATTGACACAGAAACCCTTTAACATGGTTTCAAATGTTGTGCATGGTGGGATCCACTCAGATCATAGATCCATGTTCTTGATTTATCGTCAGATCGTATGAGATCATAGATCCAAGATGAATTTTTCACGCCGGATCCGATGGGATCATAGATCCTAACCTGCAGTTTGCTTCGAGATCCACTTAGATCATAGATCCATCGCTCGGATCCATGCACATGTTTGCAATCTACGTCATAATCGATTTAAGTTGCAATCGGCAAGTACCTACCACTGACTGCATTTCTCGACAAATTAATTGCATCGGCCGCCCAGGGCCCTGTTTCACCGGTGATCGCAGCACGCTGCTATTGCACGTGTCAAATTGGGTTTCCATGGAAACGTCAACAAGCCTATTCCTCCAACACTACCAGAAGTGTGACGTCAGCTCGCGAAATGGAATAGCAGCGTGCTGCTATCACCGGTGAAACAGGGCCCAGATGTCTTACCAGTTCATACGCTTAACACTTATGCCTAGAAGAAGCTGCACTTCTCCCCGACGAAAACCACCTTTCATTATCAAAGCCTTCGCTTTGATGCTCACCTCGAAACCTGCATAACATTCGTACCGCTGATTTGCCGGCATGTTTTTTTTCAGTGCCAGTTTCTGTTTTGCGTAACCGGTTTGAATGAGGCCAGTGGGCTGCGGCCGTTCCAAAATACCCCTGGTAAGTTGGCTGGTGTCTGCCCGGAGGCGGGTGCACCGCTCGGCAGGAGAGCTCAGGGGTGAGGGGAGGGGTAGGGTTGTCTGACTCAGTGGGCCAGACTTACCGGCTCACGGCGAAACGGCGCGAGGCTATTTATTCCACCGGGGGCGATGACGCCGCACCAGAGGCGATGACGCCGCACCGGGGGCGATGACGCCGCACCAGAGGAAGGCGGATTCGGCTGAGGGCGCGCGGCGCCCTGGCGAGCGTCAGTTCGAGAGAAGCCACCAATTTTCGTACCATATTATTAGCAAGAATATCATTGATCGCATCAATTTTCCGCTGGGGACAGTTGCGTGATAGCATTGTGACATGCGAGGATTACCAACCAAAGTTGTGAATCAATGCCTGGATACTTAATCCATTGGCTACAAATGGTCAACGATTTAACCCTATTCCTGGCGGGGGGGCCTCAGGAGCCCCCCCCCTGAGGTTTTTTGGTTATATCTCCCAAACGCGTTGAGCTAGGAAGCTCAAATTTTCTGACTTTTCCTAAAAGGCTTCTACGCAACATGTCTGAATATTTTGAGTTGATCTGACCTCAGGTCAGGTCACCAGAGGCGGTTTGGTGACGCTACCTCAGAAAAGTTTGCAATCACGCCAGAGCTAGAGTTTTTGACCGATCAATTTCTTCTCTTCAGGGTTTAGTTAGGGTACTAGTATGTGCAATTTGTATATCTCGGAATTTTGATATCGGTGACCTAAGGTCAGGTCAATTTCGCGACCTCCCCATTATAAGTCAATGGGGGAAAAATCAACTCCCTGTTTTTACCACTGAAACGGGTCGGAATGGCCCCATATACCATACATGACTTCATATACGATCAACCTTCACTACCTTGAGGTCTGTTTTGCTGTTGGGCAGCTGTGAGGTCATGTGACGTCATCAAAGGTCACCAAAGGTTTTTGGCCAATAACTCCGTACAGGAACAAGATACAGACGCGTGGATGGTCTCATTGTGTTCAGCTCGTCAAGACGCATCGAATGATATACATGATGACCTCGAGGTCACGTGACCTGAGGTCAACCTTTGACCTTGACCTTTCGAGGTCAACATATATATCATTCGATGCGGATTGACGAGAGGATCACGATGATGCCCTTAGTTTGTTCCTATCTTGACTAATTCGAAAGTTATTCGAGAAAAACTCTCCATATCTAGTGCCGCCATTTTGACTTTTTCGACCCCTGTGACGTCATATTTGACCTGACCTGAAAATGACCTTAGTAAAAATTGTAGATCCTGGCCGTGCGTATCCGATGCCGTTTACCGCTTGTCGCTATCTTGCTTCGTTCTCGAGATCTCAGGGGGGGGCCGAATCGCCCCCCCCCCCCCGCCAGTTTCTTGTCCCGGCGGAGCCCGCCAGGAATAGGGTTAAAAGCATTACGACTGATTCCTAAGAAACCAGAAAGCGATAACTCGTAGGCTTGTCGTGTGATATTTCGCTGGCAGTCTCCGTTTCGGATAGCGGGGCGAGCACGTGGCGTCCTATTGACCCAGCCGGCACCTGCGCGCTGGCAGCGGCGCCGGCAGCTCCGCCATCGACCGGCGCGCGCTCAACTGACAGTATCTGGCGCCGACCGGATGGGGCTTGCTCGCCGCCGCCGCCGCCGGTGGGGGCTGGATCGATCCAGAGGTCGGCCGGGATCCCGGGGTCCTCTGAGCACGCCGCCGCGGCCCTCTCTGGCTCGGCGTGGCTCCGGTGACTGTGGTCACATGATGACCCATTCAGGCCGGCGCCTCGTCTCGGGACACACGGCTCGGTACTCCGGCAGGCGCCGCCCACGGCCAGAAATAACCGCGGAAGGTGCTCTGGTCGCCGTGGCCGTGGTGCTCCCTGCTCGCCAGCCCTCGGCGCGCGCAGCTTACCGCCGTCATCGATTTTCCAGGAGCTCCGGCTGCTGCGCACTAACGGAAAACACGGGATCAAAGCTGCCAAATTTATTGCTTTTTTCGGGGAATGAGCGAGAAATGGAGTCACTGGCTTCCGTAATGGCTTCTGACGAATGTTTCAGGCATAAATAACGTTTATTATGTTCTTTTTTGCTGTCTTCTTTCTGCATGTAAAAAGATGAACATAAAATACATACCTATAACGATTACAATAAAAGATAATCAGAAACGGGAATTAACGATTATTTATAGCATGACAGCGTCCTGGCTGATTCAGCCTGCTCATGTGTTCGATACCATTGCCAATCATAGAAGCCTCTCAATATTATCATTGATCAACTCGGTGATTAAAAAAGCATTTCCCGTTAGGTGCTGAGTTGTAAGCGACGTCTGACAACTAACACGGTAAGAATTGTATATTGCATTTTAATCCGACAGATGTTATTTGCAGTGATTCCGTGAAGCTTGAAGTATACCATCACTGAAGTTACGTTTTATCAGTGGAAAAAAAAATGTGTTCGACTTGTGACTGAGTGGAAGTTTCTCAGTGGAAAACACAGCGATTCTGCTGTGATTCTCTTTCATTGTTATTTGTCGTGTTTATCTCAGTGGTACGTCAACATTTCATTTACGATGTTTCAATCAACAAGTCATGCGTTTAGCCGGGTATCTCTCAGTAAATTGACCGCGATCGCCCACGCGTCGCCCGTGGGTGCGTCGTCGGCGGTACGCTCACGCATGCCCAGAGCCGTGCCGCCGCCGAGACCGTCAACAGAATAGTACTCGCCGGGTCGGCGCTGGGGTCGGAGCTCCTCTCCCGTCGCTCGGAGCTCCTCTCCCGTGGCAACCGCCGCCGCCGGCGACTCGTCACAGCAGCCTCAGTTGATCACGGGCGGTGTCGACAACCAGCGGACTCGCTGCCGACTGCTGCCAGTGCCGCTCCGGGTCCGTGTTTGTCGTCCGTCAGCTGCTGTCAGCAGTTGTCAGCGCGGTCAGCGGAGGCCGGTCACAGGTCACGCGCGGTCACCCTGCCGGTCCATGATGAGACCCGCTGAATCTTCGTCATCGCTCGGCTCGGACGCCTCGGGCGTGGGCAATGCCGAGTTTGACCCGATCCAGGTCACTGACGCCGGCGGCACCACTGGCCAGGTCACCGTGCAGAAGGAGCGCGCCAGCTGGGACAACAAGATCCAGTTCATGCTCTCGGTGATCGGGTACGCCGTCGGCCTCGGGAACGTGTGGCGTTTTCCGTACCTGTGCCAGCAGAACGGTGGAGGTAAGAGACCGCTCACACTGACGGTAATATTCAGCAGCTCCGTTATGGGAAGGGTCCGGCCCTACCCGTGGCGCGGTGATGTTGCCATAGCTATCCAGTGATTTGTGGCTTATTTACTGCTGGACGAGATCCACTTTATGCTCATATCATATGCAATTAAATCATCTTCATCGCAAAAACAAGATTAGAACTAACTGACCTTAAGTGTAATTGTCATATTTATTATTTCATATTTAAGAATTGACGTAACCACGCGGCCGATGCGGAGACTATTTGTCACTATTACCTTATATCCTCCATATCCATGGCCACAGACAGCGGCGTATTTAGAAAATCGCGAAGGGGGGGGCCAAGGGTTTGGAGGGCGCCACCTCACCCAAGGAGGGCGCCATACGGTCGCGAGATAAAAAATCGCTCAGTGGGGGTTGGGGGGTTGGGAGGCGTTTTTTACCATGCCACCAGTTTTTTTTTTTGCGTAACCTCGTATAGGTCGTGCTGCATTGATTTTGCATCGTGTGTATTCATTATACTCCAGGTCACAAAAGGTCAAGTGTTCTTGAAATGCTGCGCCGAAGGAGCGCGAAATTTTTGAAAACAACCTTTTCCTCCGCTTTTTAGGCACGCCTTTTATACGATCACTGTTCAAAGCTCCTCTCGCTCTTCTACCAAATTTGAAGGTGTAAAAAATACCTAAGGTTTGGTCGGGCCGCTGCCACACAAACTGTACAGAAAGCTTGGCTCATGGGTGTCGATGTATAAAAGTTTATTGGCGGTGGCATATCTACGCACCAGATCACCGTATCGGATTGATACCGGAGCGCGAGATGCGTAAACATCATCCAAATTACCTCAGACCAGCCTTCATAGCCTTCTCACAGATGCATACAGTGTACCCACATAACCAGTTTCAATCACCGAAACTTCAGATGCCTGCTGTTGCGCCCGAACCTGTTGACAATACTTAATCGTAATCCATATAGATGCCATGATGCACGTAAAGTAGGATCAATCCGTTAAGACCAAAGACGTGTTTTATGCATCGTAGAGCGTAGATAGTTTTGGTAGGTATAGATACTTCATTCATTGTGCTGAATGCACGTTCATTTGTGGCAGTTTTCACAGGCAAGACATCAACTATGTGCAATAGAACGACTAAGTTGAAAAACATGCAAAAGGAGTAAATAAATGATAGGAGGGCAGCGATCAACGGATGTTGCCAATAGGTAGAAGGGCTGCGATCCACAGGAGGGCACTAATAGGTAGAAGAGCCCCGATCAACATCCCGAGTTTCGACAGTAGGGCACCGATAGGTAGGAAGTTGGCGAGCAGCAGGAGGGCGCCAATGGATAGAAGGGCAGCGATCAACAGGAGGGCACCAATAGGTAGGAGGGCGCCGATCAACAATCAACAGGAGGGCGCCACCAGGTAAGAGGGTGGCGAGGAACAGGAGAGCACCAATAGGAGGGTGGCGATCAACAAGAGGTCGCCAATAGGTGGGAGGGCGGTCATCAACTGGAAGTCGCCAATGAGCGGAAGGGTGACGATTAAAATGGGGGTGGCAATGGTGAGGAGGGCGCCTTTGCTCAAGAGGATGACACGAACAGGAGGGCGTCTGTGCGGAGGGCGCTGGTCAACAGGAAGGTGCCAGTGGATAGGAGGGCGGTGATCAACAGGAGGGTGCCAGTGGTTAGGAGGGCGGCGATCTACACGAGGGCGCCAATAGGAGAAGGGCCCCGATTAACATTCAACAGGAAGGACAGGGAACCAATAGGTAGGAGGGCGGCACTGAACAAGAGGGTGCCAAAAGGGAGAAAGGCGGCCTTCAAAATTTCACATGAGGGCTCAATAGGTAGGAGAGCGCCAATAATTATGAGGACGCCGATCAGCAGAAGGGCGGCAATGTGTAGCAGGGTGGCGACCTACAGGAGGGCGCCTTCGGGTGAGAGGGCGCTTATTTACAGGACAGCGGCTTACATAGGCGACCACCGTTACGCTTAGAGAGCTACAGCCTACAAATGTGGTTGGAGGGCGCCCGAGGGAGCCCTCCAACCGTATTTGGAGGGCGTATTTGGAATGGGCGTCCTCCGAGGGCGCCCTCCATCCGTATTTTCCCTGTAAACACATTCGCGATTGGAGGGCGCCCTCCAGTCGCGATTGTTTTTCGATTCGATTATATCACAATTGCATTTGCGATTGGAGGGCGCCTTCGGCGCCCTCCAATCGCAAAGGGCGCCTTCGGCGCCCAAGGGGGGGGCCATGGCCCAGTGGCCCCCCCCCCCCTGCCTACGCCCCTGGCCACAGAGCTCCATGCATGAGTTACTTCTCTTTTCAGTATAGATGCCTGGAGATCAATAAGTCCTTTCCCGGACCATGTGACATTCCGACAATGAATCATGAGGCCAGTGACAGATAGTTGTCTAAACACGGGTCTGGCATCCGTATAGGTTACCGACTGGGGCTCGTTGCTGTCTAAAACATTTCTGATTTAGGTAATGAGTCGTTGTCCTATATTTACATACCGCCGAGACAGCTACAATCTGAAGCTGGTCAATCCTGTCGATTTGAAGAGATTTAGACGGTCGCTGGATAAACGAACACATGGCATCACTTTAAAGGAAGACTGCCACATTCAAAAAGTTTTCTCAGATCGGCCTATGATTTATTCCCTGGACAAAACAAAATTTTAGAATTCACCTGACAAAGTATCATCACGTGAATCGCGAAAAAAAATTGTCGATTATCATACAATTATCAATCGGTTAATGTCTAGCGACAATGTTTACACATCACTAGACTTCAAGGTCATAAGATTATTACATTTTATTTGAAAAAGTAAGGTATTTTATGATTTACTAATATATGATTTCATAAGAAATTGGCCATGTTTAATTTATTTTACATTTAAGTTCGTAAAACATTTAAAAATCATGGCTCATTTGGAATGGGTCTGGCCCATGTTAAACCCCATTTCCCACACTTTTTTAGAAAAAATGAACTACTGAATATATAAGTTTAACTTTTATTTTGACACTCCAAAATTCTTCTCTGATCTCGAAACAATCAAAGTTTTGACATATATTTACCAAAAGATAAGAAAATTCATGTTTCAAAGTTATTGATAAACAGTAGAGATGTCGGTTTTCTTGGACTAAAAAAATGGCATCAAACTGAACTTTGGTCTCCGATTTCTCGCAAACGGGTTCGAATTTCGGAAAACCGACTTCAGTCTGGGACATAGGTGGCTCAGCTCTAGTGAAAACCATTTTGTGAAAAAAGGTGGCAGTCTACCTTTAACGGGTAAGGTCCATTTTATTAACGTAAATAGCATTGCTCTAAGTACATACTAAATACATAGGTGTAGGATAGATACGCTGAGTGGTCTTCGATGATGACTTATTCCACAGACTTCTCTATATATAGAGAAGACTTCTCTATATAGAGAAGTCTGTGCTTATTCTATATGACACCCGTCGCAAGTGCTTGAACATCCTTTTCGCCGTCCATTTTTTAATGTTGAAATAAACGTAAGATGTTTTCCAGTGCCTCTTTTCGCTGGCGACGCTTAGTTCGTATGTTCAACACAATATGCACACATGAATTATCGCTATAAAAAAACACAAAGCCCTTATCCTGCTCCAAGGCAGTGTGCTCTCACCTTCACGTGATCTTGACACCCACCATTGTGCACGGGACCAGTTCACATGATGTGAAGTTTCTGAATTCTGAGCATAAAAGTCTTGAAACGCACGGGTAATGTGCGATGACATACGCCGAAACGCTTTTCCGCCCTGACATGGTCTCGATAAGCAGGTCACAGGTCAAAGGTCATTGACGTCAGGGTCATACAATTATTAGGATATATATATATATATATATATATATATATATATATATATATATATATATATATATATATATATATATATAATATATATATATATATATATATATATATATATATATATATATATATATATATATATATATATATATATATATATATATATATATATGGAATTGATTAACTCGAAGGTCCTGAAAGTTCGCTGCAATCGGCCGCTTTTTTCGCAAGTTCTTTGCGAGAAAAAAAAAACGGGAAGCGCGACCCTAATAACTGGGAGAGTTATGCCTATGCATCAGCATTAAATGATTAAAATAATTATGACGGATGTAGGTCTTGATGCCCTAGGTATATGACATTGAATGTGTATATTTGTACTGAAATAAACACACAACTAAGGCATAAGGGGCAGGGGCAGAGTACAGTGCCTGGAGATTTTTTTTTTACATACGCCAGTAATTACAATGTATTACCGACCTGGACGGTCAAAACGCTTCGCTGCACGGATCTGGGCTGTTCTGTGTGCATTTTCTGGACATGTTTGACAATGAGATCAGTTCAAAGCGATCGGATCTCTTCTTTACATCTACATTACACTGTGGCAACAGTTGTATGTTCACTCAGCTTCTCCGCAGCAGAGCTGAAAGCAATGTCCCAAAATTTGTCGAGATGTAATGTAAGAGATGTATGTAAAGTTTTGGACCACTGACGTACATTTATGCTTAGACATTGACTGATAAACCCTGAATAATGACATTTTCCACAAAATTGCACCGATAGCCTAGCATGTTGTGCGATTTGTTATTGGGGTAGCCTGCATGTGGCCCGCCGATCTTTCCCTTTGCGGCCGGCAGCCCATTCACCGGGCATGCTGTCCCGCTGTACAAGCGCGTGCTGCGGCACAGCCTACCTATCAGGCGCTCGCCGTGCGAGAGTACTTGCATACAGCGCTATAGGGCCAGGGTGGAGCGCGTGCCCGCACAATGCACTGCGTTTTATGGGTGCTTGGAGTACCGTCGCTGCTGCTGCCAGGGTTGTGCTTGACTCATGAGTCGAGTCAGAAATTTGACTCAACTCTGACTCAAATGAGTCAGATTTGAGTCGAGTCGGATAAAATGTTGAGCTGTTGAGTTGAGTCAGAGTTGAGTCGGACAAAATTATTAAGGCGTTGAGTTGAGTCAGAGTTGAGTCAGTAAAATAACTTTTGACATTGAGTTGAGTCAAGCATTTAGGAACAAGAGTCAGCTAACTCAACTTTCTAGAAACAAGCTGTTCATTCCCCCCCGCCGCTTAACAACTTCGCCCTGGCCCTGCTGCCGGATTTTTTCACCCCCCCCCCCGCTCAACAACTTTTTTATCTGAGTCAATTTTGAGTCAACTCGCTTGACTCACTAAAAAAAATTGAGTCAAGTTTGAGTCGACTCATATTTTCATTGAGCCGCTTGAGTCATGAGTCGAGTCAAGGGAAAAAATCAGTTCCTTGTTTGAGTCAGAGTTGAGTCAGGGCTTTCTGAAGTTGAATGATGAGTCGAGTCGGCAAATTTTTTTGAGTCGAGCACAACCCTGGCTGCTGCGCCTCGTTTCTTTACCACAACCACCGCGCCAGTAGTTACTATAATATGTTTGCCGAAAAATATAATCGTGCTGTTATCAAAACCCCACATAAGTATTAACAAAACCTTATAAGCGGCCAGGACCGACAAACGTTTCGCTAGTGACACACCCCTTTTGGAAAGATGGATCTATATCTGACGCAGAAGACCGCTTGTCGATCGGTCGAGTGGTTGCCGATATATACGAGTAGGCCTCTCAAAAGCGTCAGATCAAGATGAAGCCAGGTCGGGACTCTAATAATGAGATTTTCGACCACAAATTAACTCGCTTGCTCGCAGCGTCCAGTCATTAATAGAAAGGCCTAAAATTGAGTGACGAAATGTGAAATTAGGTGCCCCTAATATAGAACACATTTCTTGGACAAACCCAAGATTGTCAAAAGTTTTCCAGTTCGTCTTTCTGAGAAACTGGTGCAAAGGTATTACGTTGTTTTGAAACTGTCGCAATATTATCAGAAATAATACCTTACCTAGCAGTTATTTATATACCATCCGACAACGCAGTTGAGAGCTCGTATCACGTGAATAGGCACCACACATCAACACTAAGCCAACTGAACCTTCAGCCCACACGCTCCTGCGCCGCTACAGGATCAGTAAGTTCCCAATGACGTCACGGGTCGGAAGTGGTGACGTCAGTGGAGTCATTCGTCGGAGCTTTAGTGGCACTACGGCAGAGCATCACCGACATGAAAGGCGGTTACCACGGCCACCACCATCCCAGCTCCTGTCTCTGCTCTGCCTCTATGGTGGGCGGGGCGGCCGCCGAGACGGTCGGGGACGAGTTAGCCGTGTGTTTGGGCGGCGGGGGCGGGGGCGGGGGCGGTGGCGGCGCTCTATATTTACCGCCGCCGTCTCGTCATGGCGCCGGCGCTGTCCGTACGGCCGCCACTGTTGGTGGGGGTGAAAGGGACGATGCGGGGGTGCGACCGGGCCGGCCGGAACCGGCGCATCCCGGGCGGAATTTTCCGTCGGTAGCGGCGTCGCGTGGGTCGTCGGTCGCCGGTCCGGGCCGGCAGCTCGACGACCACGTGCCGTCCAGACGGCCGGCGCCGGATCAATGCGGCCGACCCGAGCACGTGCCAAGAAGGCGGAGCCATGGCACGGTCGGAGCGCCCCCGCCCTGCTTCCAATTCGCTTCTGATCCGCCCCTGGTCTTTCTTTGGTCCGCTTTCGTTCCACTGCCGGTCTGCCGGAGGTCCGTCGTTGGCCTCTCTCTGGTCCACGTCTTGTCCCGGAAGCTGGAACAATTGGTGAGCTCTATGGAACACCATCGGCACATCCATAAAGAGGATGCCATGCATAGAAGACCGAGACCGATATTTTTGCCAGAGAAGAGATGCCAGATCGTGGTCACGAGTCAGACGGAGTTTCCGAATGAATCTTCGGCCACTTCGAATGTAGCTAGTGTTATCGATTCATCTCTTTTCAGTGAGATCTGCTTGTTTTGTTTGCTATGGATCTGACAATATCCGCCTCGTCTGGCCATTGCCGGATTTGGATCGCTCCACGGTGGCCTAGGTCACTGAAATCTGAGCACCGCGCGAGGCGTCGACGCTGGCGGGATGACATCACCGACTTCGACGTGTTTTCTCAGGAATGCTGACCTCAGTTGAAAGCACGCCCCTCCCTCCCTCCAACTCAATTCCTATTAGCGTGAGTGATGCTGGATAACTGTTGTTGCCAGCAGTCTCGTATACGTGAGTTCGAAAAATACACATGGTTGATATATGCTCTGATACACATGGTTCCATAACAGATTCATCACTGACACCAATTTGTCTATTAACCCTCGCACGACCAGGCCATTTCTCATAACACGAACGACCAGGGGGGGGGTTGTTACGACCCCCCCCCCCTGGCGTTTCGAAACGGAAGGTCGTAGAGCTTAGCGGAAAAACCAACGGATTGCTCTCAACGAGATCTCGCGATTGGTGGTATATTTTTTGGTCCTAGGTCAACATTTGACCTACTTATGACCGGTCAAAGGTCAAATTTTCCGAAAAAATCAAACTTTTTCAACTTTCCGCGGCGATTGCGGCAAACCGGTGGGAGATATCGACTTCAAACCTTCACTATCGTGTTCCTTGATCAATTATCTATCGTTTGGTATGTATTTCGTTTCCCTAGCTCTAAAAATGGCGCGTTGGGAGCGCCGGAAGTCGGCAAGGTCACAGTCGGCGGCAGAAATTCGAAAAATCAAAATTTAAATTTTTGAAATCTAATTGTATTTTGGGATTTGGGAGGTCCATTTGCTCCCTATAGAAGCTAATATTGCTGCATATTCCCATTGAGGTGACAAGAATTAGCAAAATAGTGGTTCGGGCGCTTTTCAAAAATAGTACCGGACGCTGTTCCTCTTGTGACGTCATAGCTCCGTGACCTGACCTGACCCGGTCAATTTTCTTGCACCACACGATAGCCAATGCTTGCCCCAACATGCATGGGAAGTTTCATCATGATCCATCAAACAATGTGGGTATCACCGGCAGAAAACCTAGGGATTCGGCGCACACGTTTGGTAACTGTCGGCCGGAGGCTGTACCTCTTATGACGTCATAACTCCGTGACCTGACATGACCCGATCATTTTTTTTTCGGCAAAAGATGCGCAAAGGTTGCCCCAGAGGGTATTGAAAATTTCAGCCCGCTACGACAAGCCGTTTAGCGTGCACTTCGAAAAAACCTCAGGGGGGGTTGATACAACCCCCCCCCCCCCTAGGCGTTCTAGGGTTAACAACAGTGCAGAAAAATCAAAGTTCTCAACAGGAAGTTAGAAATGGCAGTAAATTTTGCGGAGTTGCATCACTCTAGACTAGCTTTCCATGCAAAATGTATATTCTAATTGTTTCGTAACGAAAATGGACTGACCGTTATATGTCTCAAAATCTGACTGAAGTTAGACGGGAATCATGTCCTGATGATTCATTGCAATCAGGTTTCGGTGAGAGGAAACAACAATGCATATTAATTCAGTTGCAATACATTTAACCCACTCAACTCACAAGTTGTATCGTTCTACAATAACCTGCTGTTTTCCTGTATGAAGAGCTTACAAAGTGAAATATTCTAAAACCATAGCGCATCGCCACAACTGTTTAAAAGCAGTAGCACGCGTCAGACGTGTGGCAAGGAGTCCCCTAGGAGTCGGCTACGAGTTTGTAAACTACTGCACTATATAAGCGCCGGGTCCGGCAGTTATCTGTGCATCCAACTGACATTACTCGTACAAATCCCAAAACTGATACTCAGCCTCCCCTAAAAACTTCTGGCTACTAAGCAAGAGTTAAACCGGCGTGGAGGGCCAGCGAAATATGATGTAAACCCTGTGCTTTTCCACATACTAAAACGACATATCACTATGTCCGAAGTTCATTTTCGGATCAGCAAAATGATTGAAAACAGAATATCCGCATAGCACACGCTTGAATTCAATTATGTCTAAACGAACATAGACTGTAAGTTCCAGCAGATTCTTGTATAATATACTTATGCTGTGACATGATGATAAGTTATGTTCAAAGTTACATTGCATCGATTATCGTGCAAGCAAGTGTGTATTAGTAAAATCACCGAAGCTGATCTGACTGAATGGTCTGCCGCTCGTTTCAGGGGCATTTCTGATACCATACTTCATCATGCTGGTCATCGAAGGAGTGCCACTGTTCTACATGGAGCTAGCCATTGGACAGCGCCTGCGGAAGGGGTCGCTGGGCGTCTGGAACTCAATACACCCCCTAATTGGTGAGTGGTGCCTGCTGCCAGCCCCGGACAGACGCGCCACACCCTCTCAGGCCGACTCCAGCTGGGTGGATAGTCCCCACTTCCGAGGTCAGATGAATCAAGGTCGTCCAAATGTTGTCAGACACGGCCAATATCTGCCAGAGTGGGATCACTGGTTCCATTACTGACCCTTTATTGCAGTCACTTCACCGGCACCTAACTTCGTTTGTCTGTCCATTTATATGCCCTTATACCGGCTGGTTCATGTAAATATTAACGCACATTATACATACACATGGTCTTACACATGGATTGGTGTACGAGCGAGACACTACGTCCAGTGTCACTCTTTATAGTTTATTCTGCTCGTGCATTGTTTTAAACCGGTATTTACATGTCCCTTAGTTGGCATTTTACTAGAATTTACCAGTTCTTTGAAGGCTCATTTGCGGTACTTCACCCGTCTTTACTGGTCTAATCGCTGGCGTGTATCATAACATACACCCACTTCTGCTGGTTCTCGCCGGTTTCATCCTAAGCCCAGACTGTTCAACTTGGAATGAAGAAGCAGTCCCAAGGGAGATTCAGAGGTCTTTACTGAAATAAATATTTCCGTCTGTGCTCGGTGAATGGTGTGCATAGTCTAGAGCGAATGATATTCGTGGCGATGAATGTAAGCCAGCGGCAAATGTTTGCGTGTCGATGTCCACCAAGCACACACCGGGCGTGGAATATGAGTTCTACACCTGTGATAACGAACGAACTCAAATCATGAAGCCGTTCTTTTTTCAACCTATATGGAGGCACTTTTCTGCGGGCTCAAACGACGCCAGTTTTTATCATTATGGAATATGAGTTATACACCTGTGATAACGAACAGACTCAAATCATGAAGCCGTTCTTTATTCAACCTATGGAGGCGCTTTTCTGTGCAGGCTCAAACGACGCCAGTTTTTATCGTTATCTGACATGTTTTCCATGTATCTTTTCGTTCTTGATAAATCAGGTAAAATAATGACGCTGTGTTTTTAGTACATAGTTAGATATATACTTTCTTGCAAACACCTCGGGAAGGCTGCTCAATATTATCTGACGAACTATGCATTGTTCAAGAAGAGTGCAGGCGAGTTGATGTGAAACACATTTATGTTTTCAGGTGGAATTGGTCTGTCGTCAACCATGGTGTCATTCATGGTCGGCCTATACTACAACGTCATCATATGCTGGTGTTTCTACTATTTATTCAATTCATTCACGGTGAGATTAACTGTTATTAGACTTTTATGTTTGGGTCAACTTGTTGGATTATCTCACGACACAAGCATTCCTTTTATTGCTTTTGGTTCGTTTCAGTTTGCAAAGCAGCACTAACACGAGAGAATATGAACGCGATTCCAGATGAGTTTACAAAAGGTATTTCGATTGCGTTATCAGCGAGGACGTTTTTTATCGCATTATCACCAAAGATATATGATAGAAAATATTATAAACCAATAAGTAGATGGTGTTTTTCCCAATATTTATTTTCCTTGACTTATTGGCTTGGTACACAAATGAGAAACAGTGGCGTTGCAGTCACTGCTCGTCTCCTTTTTATCGTAAAACCGAAACGACTGCCACCAGCCGAATAACCTGGCAGTTAGACTGTACCGCCGTACACAGCTGCCATGCGGCACAGCATATACGTATACTGCGGTGCTGCGCTGCGCCTATTGGCAAATGTGCACCAGCCATCGGCTTTTTAGCACTTTTAAGTCAATATAGCAATTTTGTAATCATGAAAATATCTAGCATGATTTATAATCACGTGTTTTCAGTTATGACATAAAACAGTTCAGTCCTAACTGTTTTAACCGAAAGTGATTATTTTTTTCTCTCTGGCGATCAGTTGCAAATGGAATGACCTCACCCAAAACTATTATATGCATAAAGAAGCATGTTATGTTGTGTAATAACTTTGAGCAAATGATTTTAAATGCCATTCCCAATGAGAATCGAAACTCCCAATAGAAACTCCTATAGCACGTTGTCACCAGCCACAACTAGCTTCGAACAGCGCGTTTGAACCGTAGATAACCTGAGCGATAGCAATGTCAAAGCCGCCTTTTGCTGGCGTCTGGTCGCCCGTTCTAAAATAGACCGGTCTCTACCCTCAGTTGCCGTGTAACTACTGGCTGAATGCCAGGTCAGCCGGACCTGATTGGCAAACAGACACTAAAGAGAGCCAAAGTGTAGAAGGAACTCGCTTCTTAGAGATGATGACTTCATGTAGGTATAGGCTGAAGTTAGCGCTCGGTGAATTGCGTAACAAGTGTCTAATATATTTATCAAGCGTATTGATGCTTTTATTGCTCTATTTGAAGGGCAAAATAACGAAATAGTAGCACGTAAAAGCATATCTAAAATGCATACTTTTTCAGCAGACAGCAACATGTGAACGCTGTTTTTCAAAAACGTCATTCGGCTTAGCTTGCCAGAGAAGCTATGTGCAAAGGTATTCATTAATTACTCATACAACTTATGCGTAGAACTTATGTAAAAGAAAATCACGCTGGCATTGATACAGACGTATCAAATAATGAAAATCCCACTGATCTCACTTTACCAAACGTCAATTTATTATAAATTCGAGCGTCATTGGAGATTCATTAGACTTGAATTGAAGTCTTCTCTCATTTCTTGGCTCGTCTCCACACGCTGCTCGATTGTCCTTTGGCTCCACCCTCTGCCCCTCCCCCCCCCCTCCTGCGCGCGGGCGGCGCGGTCCGGTCAGAGCCGGATTCGGTCCGGGCGTGGTCGACGGCGCGTCGGTCGCGTCGCCAGCGACGATCGATGCTCCGACGCTCGACGGCGTCGACCTTGTCCGGGCGGTGGGTTCTCCCTCTCCCTCTCCCTCTCCCTCTCCCTCTCCCTCTCCCTCTCCCGATAGGAACTGCGCCGCAGAATGAGCACGCCGCCGCCACGATAAGTCGGCGGGGACGCCCGTGGGGAAAGGGGGAGGGAGTTCTGTTTTATGGCGCTCGCGGTAAGGGTTTCGGGAAACGCTCGTCGCTCAGTGGGGTTCCACCATGTCGGCGTCAGACATCGATCGCGCTAGATACGGTGTTGCAATCGAACTGGGCCTCACGCGGTGTCGAATGTCGATGGAAGTTGTCCTCAGGCGTTGATCCGACCGTCGCGTGTGAGTTGTGGTCTTATCGGCACATGAATACATACTGAGTGTTTCCGACGACATTTAGGACAGCTCTCGGCTCTGAATTCCCAATTGAATGGAAAAATACGCTCGGCGTAACCGTCAATATTTCCATCATTTACTGGATGGTCAATAATAGCAGCCATAGACCACTATATACCTAGGTATATACCTAGTATATAGTAATATACCTAGGTATATAGTGGTCTATTTATCAGCGTATTGACCGTTTCCTCATGTTGCTCTGGTCAAACGTGTCTCGACGAATGAGCTAAGATTAAACAGAAACAGGAAAATAAAAGAAAATATTTGCATGGGGGCGAATTCGCAATTGAAAGAACATTCACATGAGTAACACAAAATGAGCAAAAGTTATAATAATAATGTTCAACATCTTGATAGGCAAAAATAAGCAATGCACCGCATCAAGAAATTAATTTGCAAAGGAAGCCATATGGCTGAGCAGAAAACTATGTCCTTGATCAATTCACTTCAAAAAAGATAATTTCACAAGCGTACATACGCTTGCTCGTGAGCGTCGCCTATTGATTATATATTTATAATTCCCACCCCTCCTCCTCATTGCTCGTTTTTTTTTTGTCTGTTCGGGCACATGTTCCGTCTCTTTATCTCGGCCAAACGAGGGTTGTCGGTCTAGTTTCCGGTCAGACCTGCATGCATATCGCCCGACTTTTGTTCTTGTGGTGGTCATTTCCCGTCATATCGTCCCTATCAGACGCCTATATGCCCGACTATATGACCTATTCGGACGCACATTCCTCGTATATTTGTCCCGGTCAATGGCAACTTAGCGGCCCCCCGGCTAAGAGGCGTTGGGCGAGGGCAGACAGATGCCGGAGAGAGCGAGGGAGAGGGAGGGAGGGTGGGAGGGAGAGAGATAAGCGGAGCGGGCGGGCTGGGGCGGGAGGCACGAGGGGAGCGCGGGATATAGGACAGTCAGAGACGAGCCAGCGAAGGGGACGGACCATCGGTCATGGTCTCAACATTTTTTTGGCTTCTCTCGTTGTGTGACACTCGGAGTGACAGAGAGGCTATGAATAGTGACGGCGAAAGAGGGAGTGGTGGCATGGTACTCAGAAGGGCGGTGCCTTGCGATTCAGCGCAGCGCAGGAGCTGGGAGGCAGAGAACCAACCGCCTGTGACGACTCATGACGCGAGGTTTGTCAGTAGATGCCACTGACTACAGGTAAGCGAATGGGCCGAGTTCGCTGTTGTGTAACTGGCCGGGTGCCGCGATAGCTTGATGGGCGCAGTAACCTGCGCTCTCGAGAGCAGGGATGCTTTTGTGGGCAGACCGCGAAGGCGCCACTTTCCAGCTCTTGGGAGCTTATTGTCATGGCTGTCAGCTGTCGATGTATAATCAGCGTGTAGACAGAATTCGCGCGACTTGCGTCATTGCGGAGTCACGCGCTGTCTAATTTGGATGGTGTTGTCCGACATCTCGTGCTACAAATCGAATAGGCTGGCAATATCGGCTTGGGAGAGACGGTCGTGGACGTTTTTTTTTTTTTCGTTGCTTCGTCAAGAGCTTTTGGACGCTTGAAGCGCGCCACCGCGGCAGCTGTGGTCGTGGGAGCGCTCCGTGAGGACCCAGACTGTGGGTTAGCGCTTGCCTGGTCTCCTGTTGTCACAGTTCGGTGACTGGTTGCCAGCGCGACTGCCGACTGCGGCGGGGGAGCGGGACGGGGTCAGACGTCCCTGTGCATATGGAGTGTGGCAGCGGCTGAGGGGCCTGCTGGTTGGTCTTTGAAGCCTTTGGGGGCTGGTGGGTGCGGTGCGGTACCCTTGGGGGCGAACGCGGTCAGTGATTTGGTGACCTCGGGTGACATTTTCAGGGCTGATATCAGGTTTGGCCCGTGACCACCTGCACCCTGGTATCGCTGCGCGCTGCAACGGTGCAGCGGCGCTTAACCCCTGCGCTCCGGCTGAGCGAGGGGAGCCGGGTGGGTGACGTCATCGAAGCACGCCGCACGCAGCCAGATCAAGGCGCCGGGCCGGGGCCCTGTTTACGGCCGCTGCCAGCGTGCGCTATCACACGTGCTAATTGGGTTTCCATGACATCCGTACATCCGTATCTCCAACCCTGCCAAAATGTCGTCACATGTGTGACTTCAGCTCGCAAAATGCGATAGCAGCGTGGTAGCAGCATCGAGTGAATACCGCTCAAAAACGGGAATGGCCCTCCCTTTGTCCGCGCGGTCCACGGGCCCGCCGGCGCCGCGGCGCGGCGGACCGGGCAGCGGAGACCCAATAAAGTAAACAGCCCGGCCTTATCGGTCACGGTGTCGTATGGCGGCGCCCGGCCGCATGGCTCACAGCTGGGGCATGGGTGACTGTCCGCTGGAGTCATGGGACGGGCAGTGGGACAGGGCCAAGGAGAAAGGAACATGGTGTTTGAGGGAGAGTCGAGGGGGCAGTGACCCTTCCGGAACGGGGTGATCGTGGTGGTCCCAGATGATGTCTTATTGAGTTTTTACAGACCTAAAGCGCGCGCAGCGGCGCGCCGTGTCGGTTCGCAGGCACACCACGGATACCTATCGGCTGTCGCTGTTCCGGACCACGCGGGCTCTGACGTGCCCGAGCGGTCGAGGGTCAGTTTGACCGAGTGGTGCGGGTCGCTGGTTGTTGGCAGAATACAATGCGACGCCGCGGACCGATTCGTGGTGTCATCTGGGATTGGACCTTCGGAATTCCGTTTTGTCTAATGTTCATTTCGGGAGATGGTTAAACAAAGGTTACACTGGCTTGGACAGCTGAACAATCACTTGCTCGGGGGACGAGAAACGCTATTTCTTCTATCCCTGCTTCCTGGTTGATAAGAACGAGCTTAGACAAGCTTCGGCAGGGTGCGCTGAAGAAGCAGAGCGCCGGTGGCGACCGGGCAAGCGCCGCGAGATGACCGGGGGGGGAGGGTGGCAGACCGCTACGGGCGCCACTATCGCGGGTCTGACGGGCGGCCGTGGGAGCTCTTGGGAGTTTCCTGCCCTTGAAGGCGACAGTAGCTGTCCTAGCTCTCGAGCTTATTGCCCTTGGGGGCGAGCTT